TTACCCTGTAGTTACCATTTTCAGTGCCTTTTACTTGCGTACAGCCAGATTGACCTACTGTATTCCTGCTATCTGAAAGACCTCCTTTAACATTTCTTTTAGTGCAAATCACCTGGTCACCAAGTCTTTATTTTGCCTTCATTTTTGAAAGGTATGTTTCCTGGGTGTAGAATTGCAGGTTAACAGCAATTTTCTTTAAGAATTTAAAAGATGCTGCTTGACTTGTCTTGTTGTTTGCATTTTTTTCTTATGAAATCTGTTGACATCCCTGCGCTTTCATCTGTAAATAATATGTTACTTCTCTAGCTGTTCCCAGCTGGAGATAAGATTTTCTGTTTACCACAGATTTTGAGCAGTTTGTTTATATAATGTTCCTTACTATAGTTTTCTTTATGTTTCTTGTATTTAGGATTCATTGAAATTCTTAGATCTTTAGGTTTACAATTTTTATCAAATTTGGAAAAATTTTGGCCATTATTTCTTCAAATATTTTTCTGCCTCCCCACCTCACTTTCACTTAGGGACTCTCACTACATGCATAGTGGGCTGCTTGAAATTGTTCAGTGGTTCATGGAGCCTTTGTTTATTTTTGTTCTTTATTTAATTTTGGATAGTTACTATTGCTGTGTCTTCAAGAGTTCATTAGTTGTTTTTCTGCAGTATCTAACCTGTTGTTAATCACATCCAGTGTATTTCTCATTTAAGTCATTGTAGTTTTCATATCTAAAAGTTCATTTTGGATCTTTGAAGCATTTTTGTGTCTCTAGTTAAATGTTCTCTCTCTGTTACCACTTCTTCACCATGTGTAATACAGTTATAGTAACTGCCTCAGTGCCTCCACCTGCTAATTCTGTCGTCTGTGTCAGTTTCAATTAATTGTTTCTTCTCCTCATATCGGGGTTGTGTTTTCCTGAGTGTCTGCATGCTTGGCAATGTTTACTTGGATGCCAGGCTTTGTGAATTTTACCTTGTTAGCTGCTGGGTATTTTCTTATTCCTAGAGATATTCTTGAGCTTTTTTCTGTGATGAAGTTAAGCCACTTGAACATAGGCTGATCTTTCCGGGCCTTGCTTTTAAGATTTGTTAGCTGGAATTAAAGTACTGGTTAGTTTATGGCTAATATTGCTGCACTCAGAAGCAAACTCTTCCATGTAGACTACCTGATGTGCCCTTTGGCTGCACCATTTTATATTCCCACCAACAATGCATAAGCATTCCAATTTTTCTACATTTTTGCCCAGACTTGTTACTTCTGGTTTTGTTTTGTTTCGTTTTGTTTTATAATGGCCATCCTAACAGGTTTGAGGTGGTATCTCATTGTGGTTTTGATTTACATTTCCCTAATGATTAGTGATGTTGAACACCATTTTAAATACCTGTTGGACATTTGTATTTATTCTTTGGGGAAATGTTTATTCCCCAAAGAATAAACATTTTTGCTCATTTATATATATATATATATTTTTTTTTTATTTATTTATTTATTTTTTTTTTTTTTGCTATATTCATCAGAAATACTGGCCTGTAGTTTTCTTGTAGTATCTTTTCCTGGATTTGGTATCAGAGTAATGCTGGCCTCATAAAATGTGTATAGAAGTGTTCTCTTCAGTTTTTTGGAAGAACTTGAGAAGGATTGGTATGAATTCTTATTTAAATGTTTCACAGAATTCTCCAGTGAAGCCATCTGGTGTGAGGTTTTCCTTTGTTGAGAAAATTTTTATTACTGATTTACTCTCCTTATTAGTTATAGGTCTGTTGAGTTTTTTTGTGTGTTTTCATAAGTTACTCTTGGTAGGTTGTATGTTTCTAGAAATTTATTTCTTATAAGTTATCTAATTTGTTGGCATATAATTGTTCATCGTTGTCTCTATAATCTATTTTGCTTGGTATTTTGGTTTTTTAGGGTGAGAAAGTAAATGTGGTTCCTGTTATACAAACTTGGACAGAAGCAGAAGTTTCATTCTGATTGATTTTAGTTACTTTGGGTGAAACATTACCATATTTCAATGAGGACTATATTTATATATATATAAAATTATACTCAGAAAATATTCCCCACTATTCCTTCCAGCCCATTCTCTCCACCTTTCTTTTCACCCTGTTACTGCCTATTCCCTATAAGAAAGAAATTTCATTAGTTTTTTAGCTGACCCATTTAGTTGGGCTTTTTTGAGTTCTAGTAACTGTTATATGTATATTTTTTACATCTCTTCTTATATTAAAGATAGTCTTTTGCACTTTTTTTTTTTTTCATTTAACAACCTATCCTGGATATCAGTTCATAGAGATTTTCCTCATTCTTTCTGGTGGTTTCCTAGTATTCTACTGTGGATTTACTGTCATTCAGTCACTCTCCTATGTCTGGGCATTTAGGTTGTTGCCTAACTTTTGCATTTACAAACAATGTTGCAATGAATAATCTGATACATTTATATTTTCCTATTGGAAGTTTAATAATCCTGGCTCACTTTGGGAATTTCTACACCAACTAAATGATACAAAATTTGAACCCAAATCTAAATAATATGCAAGTCCAAGAATTCAGTTTCTCATGAGAGCACTGTTTTCACCCCAAACTTGGGAATAAACAAATAACCTATCAACTCGTAGCGACGGTAGGTGAAGTATTTCTAGTCACTGTGTGTCTTAGTCAGTTTGGGTTGTTATAACAAAAGTACCACAGACAGGATGGCTTAAACAACAGGAATTTATTTCTCACGGTTCTGGAGGCTGAGCAGTTCAAAATCAAGGTGCTGACTGATTTGGTTCTTGGTGAAAGCCCTTTTGGTGGTTTGCAGACAGAAGCCTTTTTGCTGTGTCCTCACACGGTAGAGAGAGACATCAACTCTCTAGTCTTGTAATACGGGCACCCTAATCCCATTTAGGAGGGTTTCACCCTCATGACTCAGTTACTTCCCAGAGGCCCACCCTCCAAATACCATCACATGGGGGATTATAAAGATTCAGTCTATGAATTTGAGGTGGACACAAATACTCAGTCCATAGCACTGCAGGTATAGTTTTTGAAGACCCTACCTTTATGTATTAGTCTCAATTCCAACTTCTTACCTTGCATAGACCGAAGGCCTCTTCTGCTGCCCTCCCCTTACAATACAAGCCTATAGTTGTAACCTTATTCTACAGGCCTTTATAAAGACTGCCAGGGGTGGTGGTTATCTGCTAATTAATATTGTATTTTTTAAAATTCACCTTTTTTTCTAGCATCACAAGTTCCTTCTCTTTCACATCAGTAAACATTTTTTAAACATGTTTAAATACTTTATTTGGCAGTTTAGAGAGGAAGGATTTTCATGTTTAGTTCACTAATGTTGCTGGATAACTCACATATAGACTTGCATGGATGCTGTCATATGCTTATATACCATTTACCTTTGTAGAGGAATTATCCTGCAGAAAACGGCCAGGGTATCTAAGTGAAGAAATAACTTGATTCAAGAGGCAGCTTTTTGACACCCAAACCATTTAAGTCTCACCTCAAGGAAATTTGCCATGTCCAAAATTTAAAATCAACAGTTAAGGAGGAAAATGGCTGGTGATAGCTGAGATGGAACAGGGTGGCTATGTAATTTTTGAAATGTACCATTTATACAAAATATAAATGTTAATTGTATTGTATTGAATTGTTTCATTTTTCCCTTGTGTGCATTTTAGGCAATAATTCTAAAGAGAAATGAAATTCTAAAACTGGGAGTATCTAAACTCAACTTTTGGGTAAGATTCAATGTTTTTAATGCAGTTTATTTAAATTCTACTTTTTATTTCTATAAACTGAACACAGTTAATAATCTTTAAAATGCTAATGATTTATAGCCAATAAATAGCTACTGACTTAAAAATAGCTACTATCTAAGGTAGATAGATACATAAGGAAATAGTCCTTAGCAAGGACTAGAAATCATTTTCAAGAAGTTAGCACACATATTTCACAACTCACTTCCAGGCCACTCTTCCTTTATGTTTCATCCTGCTATATCCACACAGCCTTGCTTTTAAAAATGTGTTTGTCTTGAGTTTCTCTGTTTAGCTTCAATTAACGTTCCCTTCAAAATAATTCGTTTGTAGTTTCTTTCCAGCTTTCTCCTTTTCTTTCCTCTGCATCTATCCATCATCTATCTCTCTTTCCTTCTGCTTCCAACTTTAGACTCTATTACTTTCGTCCTTTTAACATTTTCCTTCCAGTCTCCCAGCCCCTTCTAATTTGAACTCAGCCACTACCTAATCTTTGTTTGGCTTCTTCCCAAATATGCAGATGGATGGCCCATATTACCTCTATGGTTTCCTAGTAAAATAAGTTATTAGGCAGGTAGTGCAACTCCTAAATTCTCTTAATATGAGACAGACGATATTCTTTTTCTCTGGTCTGTGATGTACTTCCATTAAAAAATAAACCCTGGGCCACACACAGTGGCTCACGCCTGTAATCACAGCACTTTGCGAGGCCAACACGGACAGAGAGCTTCAGCCCAGGAGTTTGAGACCAGCCTGGGCAACATGGCAAAACCCCGTCTCTACAAAAAATAGAAAAACTAGTTGGGCATGGTGGCATGAGCCTGTGATCCCAACTACTCAGGAGGCTGAGGTGGGAGGATTGCTTGAGCCCAGGATGGTTACAGTGAGCCATGATCACCCCACTGCACTCCATGCTGGGCGACAGCAGAAATGAACTGTATGTTTACATGTTATATATTGAGAGGATAAGTCTGGAAATGTTACAAGTTGAGGAAGGAACCCACAATACAAGAGAACAAAATGGAAGGAGTTGCTGTTTTCTCCTTGTTGGAGGCATTCTTCCATCCTTTATGGTGAAAATATAGAAAGATTTGTCCACTAAGTTGTTGAATGAATGATATGATGCTTTCTTTGTCTTTTTAATTGGTTCTACCAATTTGACTCTTTACCCAGGCCACCTGTCCTTAGGCATGCAGGCTTTGTAGAAATTCACATATCGACATTACACTTGTAATATATAATTCTTTCACTTCAGAAAAATTGAGCAATTTAATAACTCAACTCAAAAGAAGGTCAGAATTTCAGTTGCAAACTATTGAAAAATGACAATAAATAGAAGAGTGTCCATAAACATCAAAAAAATTCTGCCAAGGCTGCACTCAAAGGAACATTTACTGTCTTCATGTTCAACAACATTTTCAGTAGTAGACTGGAAAGAACATGAATTGACTAAGTTTTAAATTCAAGAATATCAAAGAAACAAAAAATCTAAGGAGGGAAAAGTTGAGATTTAACTAAGTGTTCAGCTTACATGTTTTTAAGCCTCCCTAGGTATGATTTTCTGTTTTTAGCTCTGTATATCTTTGGCAAAAATAAGTATTTATTACACACAACCCAAACAAGGTATTTTTAGATCTAAGTGATTCACTTTAGAGTTTAACGTCAATAGAAGCAAATTCACTGTTTAATGGGAGACTACAGTTTTTGGTGGCAAGGTAATTATTGAATTGAGCTCATGCTGAAATTTACAAAGGAGAACTTTGTATGTGCCATGAGGCATGAGAATCATTACAGGAAGGGAAATGGAACCTCCAAGATAATCTAAAGCTCAGTACTAAGGCCAGATAAGGATAGTATGAAAAAGGATATTCTTACTTGCAAGCATAGATTCAAAATTTCACTTAGATTAAAAACATTCCTTACATGCAAAAGTATAAAAGATTAGTAACTCAAGAACAGCCATCTATATGATAAAGATAATCCACTTGTGATAAATCTGACTTATTCTAGGAATCCAAAGATGTTTCTGGAAAATCCAAGAATGTAAATTATCACACTAACAGATTAAAAGAGAAAAATATCTTATGATCATCCCATTAGATGCAGAAAATAAAATTGATAAAATTGAACACCCATTTATAATGAAAACATTTAACACAATATAAATAACAGTTTTCTTAACCCAGTAAAATTCTTCAGCAGTCATTAGTCTTACTGATGATAAGGTATTTAGAGTGTTCTGTATAAAATCAAGATAAAGATAAATGTGCTTTTTCACATTTTATTAAAGGTCCAAACTAGCCTAGTAATGCAAGAAAAGTAAATAATAGGAAAAGGAAAGAAACTGAAGGAAGCAAAATTTATTATAGTATCAATATTTACCTAGAAAGAATAAAATAATTGACAGACAAAAATTATTAGAAATTAGAAGAATTCAATACCATGGCTAGATATGTTTAATATTCAAAAATCAATTGCATTTCTATTCTTTGGCAACAAACAGAAAACATTTTTTAAAAAATATGCCTTATGTATTAGGAAGAAAAATGCATAGGATCTGAATGAATCTAACAAAATACATGCAGTATTTGTATTGGGAAATTTATTTAAAATTTTTAAGATATAAATAGAAAAATAAAACACATCTATATGTATGAAGATTCATGTAATGCAGTTCTCCCCCTTTGATGTTCAGATTCAAAGCAATTTCAGCAAGATTGTCTTGCAGGTCACTGTTCACTAAATGATGCTGGAATAGTCTATATGAGAAAAACCGTATGTTATACACAAATATCAGTTCCAGGCCTAGCCGTTTTGAATGTTCCTAAGCTGGATGTCTTTTTGACATGTCATTATAAATTTATAATGCTCCAGTCTTTTCTTGATTTTCCTTGTGCTAGCCTTGGAATCAGCCATTTTTTCCTAGGAGCCCTGGTTCCTTTTAGAGGAGAATGGTATTTGGACACAAGGCCTGAGTGGTATGTGCACTCGTTACTACCAGTGTGTCCTTATTTCTAGGCCCTTTCACTGCACATATGTGCACACGTGTGTGTGTATGAAATCATGATTTCATAACTATAGCTCCAAACCCAGCCCAATGCTATAGAAAGGCAGCCTAGTTAGGTACCTCAGAACTCACAGAAAAACACCACAAGCTGCCATCTCCTGAAACTCCATCCAGTGGCAGAAGACACTCAGAAAGAGGGTCCAGGGAAATGCTCTCCATCCTGTGGGTCTGGTATCTACTGTTCCCTCCAGGGAGGCTGCCCATGCAGGTAGCAGCAGCAGGGATCTAATAGGTGCCCTGCTCGGACTAGGCAGCCCAGGAAAGAGCCCTCTGCCTCTGCCAACTCACTACCCCACAATCCTGGTGTCTCTCACCCTTCACCTCATGGCAACAGAACTTGGGAAGTACATTCTTCCTGCATCAGCAGCATGATTTGGGGCAGAGACAGAGTACCAGGGCACCAGATGAATTGAGCTGACCAGAATAGCACTAGCACTGCAAAGGCTCTGAACACTAAATGTCATTGTAACTATAGCACACAGAAGTAGGCCAGGACTTGCATGATAAACCTAAAAACAAAGTGACTGTCTGCTGAAATAGAAATTTAAAATAGGATCCACAGTCTCTAACATAATATAAAAAATGTACTGGATACAATAGAAAAACCACTCATCATAAGCAAGAATGGAGAAAATAACAACTTGAATGAGAAAAGACAATCAACAGATGTCAACACTGAGATGAATAGGATGTGGGGATTATTTGACAAGGGTTTTAAAGCAGTCATCATAAAAACACTTCAATGAGCAGTTTTAAATACTCTGGAAGCAAATGAAAAGACTATAAAATCTTACCAAATAATTTTTTTTTTTAAAGAACAACTTGGTGATTATAGAACTGAAAAATACAATAACAAACTAAAATTCAGTAAATGGAGTTGGTAGCAGAGTGAATATTATATTACAGAGGAAGCAATCAGTGCTCTTGAAGATAGAACAATAGAAATCTCCCAATCTAAATTGAGAGAAAATCACAGGAAAAAGGACAGAGCCTCCGGGACCTATGGTGTAGTAACAAAAGATCTAATATTTGTATCATCAAAATTTCAGAAGAAATTGAAAAAGAGAGTGGGAGGCCAAACAGTATTTTAAGAAGTAATTGGTAAAAGCTCCCCAAATTTGGTGAAAGACACACCTGCAGAGTGAAGACACTGAGCGATTCCCAAGTAAGACAAACCCAGAGAAATCCATGCCAAGATACACTATAAGTTAACTTTTAAAACTAAAAGAAAAAAATCTTGAAAGTAGGTACGGAGAAATGACACATCACCTACAGGGCAAAACTGACTTGAATTGTAGCAGACTTCTCATGTGAAACTAGGGAGGCCAGAAGGTTGTGGCAGAACACTTGTCAAGATGAATTACATATCCAGTGGATGTTTCCTTTAGGAATGAAGGGGAAATAGACATTCTCCAATCAAGGAAAATTAAGATAATTTGTGGCTAGCAGCAAACCTTAAAGAATGGTTAATTGAAGTTCTTTTGTCAGGTTTGTTGAAGACCAGATGGTTGTAGATACGTGGTTTTATTTCTGAGTTCTCTATTCTCTTCCATTCGTTGATGTGCCTGTTTGTACAAGTACCATGCTGTTTTGGTTACTGTAGCCTTGTAATATAGTTTGAAGTCAGGTAGCCTGAGGCCTCCAGGTTGGTTCTTTTTGCTTAGGATTGTCTTGGCTATATGAGCTCTTTTTTGATAGCGTGGAATCAACCCAAATGCCCGTGAATGATAGACTGGATAAAGAAAACGTGATACATATACACCATGGGATATTATGCAGTCATAAAAAGAAATGAGATCACGCTCTTGGCAGGGACATGGATGGAGCTGGAAGCCGTTATTCTCAGCAAACTAATGTAGAAACAGAAAACCAAACACTGCATGTTCTCACTTATAAGTGGGAGCTGAACACCGAGTACACATGGACACAGGGAGGGGAACAACACACACTGGGGCTTGTCAGGGGAGGGTAGGGGGAGAGAGAGCATCAGGAAAAATAGCTAATGAATGCTGGGCTTAATACCTAGGTAATGGGGCAGCAAACCACCAAGGCACATGTTTACCTATGTAACAAACATGCACATCCTGCACAGGTACCCTGGAACTTAAAATTTAAAAAGTTCTGGAAACGAAAAGGAAATGCAAGAAGGAATCCTAGAATATAGGGAAGAAATATAAAACAGCAAAATAGATACACAGAGGGGTAGATATAATAGACTATTCTTCTCATGAGTATTTCCTTTTGTGTACTTTTTTTGCTTTATTTTGTTATTCTTTATTTAGATTTTTAAGTCAAGGATTTAATTCATTTATTTTCACTCTTTCGTTTTTATTGATAAAGCTTTTGAGGCCATGAGTTTGTTTCTTATCCTTGCTTTAAATGTCTTCCTTAGTTTCCATATGGAAATGGTATTTGCCTGCCATGCTGCTGCCATCATTCTATTTTTCACCTTTCTGAATCTGTTTTTGTTTGTCTTCCCCGTGTAGCATAAGTTGAGTCTGTCTTTGCTTTGTGAGATAATGTGAAAACCTTTGTTGTTAAGTTTTATGTGTATTTGACTATATTTGCTTTGTTTCTGTATATGATTCTCTTTTATTTTAAACTTTTTGTATTTAGGAAGGTTACTATTCCTCAATTGTTGCATATTTGAAACTTTTTTTATAACGTCCATACTTGAATGACAGATTAGCTAGATATAAAATCCTTGGTTCTCACTTTTTAAAGTTTCTTAAAAATGCCTCTACACTACTGCTTTGGTTTATATGTTTTTTTTTAACAAGTCTGATGCTAGCCAAATTCTCCTGTCCCTTATAAATTATGTGACTTTTGTGCCTGGAGGTTCTGAGGAATTTTTCTTCATTTTTCATCATTCTACTGAAAGATGTCTTGAGTTAGTTTACCATACCAGATTAATTTTTTTCCAGTACCCCCTGGATCCTTTCCAAATGCCGATTCCAGTCTTTTTTTATTTCTGGAAAGTTTCCTTGGATTATAATTTAAACACTAGTTTTGATTCATTGCTCTGGTTTTCTTTTTCAGGTGCTCCAGTTGTAAGTATGTGCCTTTCTTCCATTTCTGCCACGTTCTCTGTTCCTTCTCACTTCTTTCTCTGGTATCATTTTCATTCTTCATCATTGTTTTAGTGCCTTTACTTCAATTCCTTCATTAACTTATTTGAATTTCTTTTTATCATCTTGTGATTTAGTTTTTATTTTTTTGATGATAATCTCCTTTTCTTCCATTCCCTTTCTATGTCTAATAAACTATTTCTTTCTGCTTTTTTCCCCATTTCTGTTCTTGGTTTTTGAATTTCTTGTTTAAATTGCTTTTTTAATATTTCTGAATGCTTGTTTGAGGATATTTAATTCAACTTTTAATTCTGCATAATTTTCTTCTGCTTTGTGAGATTTTATTGTTCAGTGGTGTGGATTTCATTAACTGAAATATTTGACTTTCATGTTTGTTATCTTCTTAAAGAAGCTTTGGATATTTATATAGGCATTTTTTCATCTATTAATTATTTTGTGTTTTCTAGTCCAAGTGCAAACCTCTTCTGAGAATGTAGCATAGTGTGATTTTTTTCAGTGAATAACTTTTTTCTTTTTTTGTGTGTGTAATGGCAGTAGTGATGGATAGTCTTTTGGTTTGGGTTCTCGTTTTTCCTGCTGGATACTTTTTCCTTCTTGCACTCCCCTTTTTTATCCTCCTTTCTTTCCAGAAATGATGACTTTCTGACATCAGTGTTTTTGTCCCTACTCACTCTTAGGCCCTGCTCTGTACTCCCATTTACCAATCTCCCAGGGCTCTTTTTACACATAGGGTGGACTTTTCTCTTTCTTGGGTTTTTTTAGTTCCAATTTTGACCCCTGTCTTTCCTTTTCTTCTTTATCCTTTTGTGGGTCTCCCCTCATTCTCTGCAAAGGCTTAGGTCAGGGACTTGAGGTATAACTCTATATATTCGTTGCTTCCTTTTCGATTCATAGGTAATTTGAAGTTTGTGCTGTTACCTTTTCTCCATATATGAGGTTGTATTGTTCTACTTGGTTGATATATACAAAGATTTGAATTTAGGCTGCTGTAACTTTCCCCAGGCTAACCAGAAGTGCACAATTGTTCCCTTTTTAATCAAGGCTAGTCAAAAAATCAACAATAACACAGAAGCCTCATTGCCATTCTAGTTCATATTCCTGTTTCTTAAAGGAAAGCTTAAGTTTTCACATTTCAAACTTATTTCTTGAAGATAGGCTCATATATTTCCACAGAAGTGGTAGAAGAACTTTTAAGGTAGTGTTTTAAAAAATGGATTTTCAGCTGAGAAATAATGTTTGGAAACAAACACATAAACACTCCCTTTTCTTAACAGAAATCAAAAGGAAGTAACCTTTTAAAACTTCCTTTAGATTTAGGATATGTATAAGCAGCCACTTTTCCGACGCACACGGGGTTTTCTCTTTGTTCAAATCCTCCCTCCCTCTGTCTCTGTATGGGAAGCTATTTTCTTTTTCCTTCTTTCATTCTTACCTATTAACCTTTCACTCCTTAAGACAAAAAAAAAAAAAAAAAAAAAAAAAAAAAAAAAAAAAAAAAAAAAAAAAGATTTAGGATATGTAGAATTCTAATGTTGCTATATATTTTATACCAGTGTCATCAGTTTTAATTCTTTGCTTTTAAACAAGATTTTCCAAAGGAACTTTTTAAAAAAACTCACCATTTATACCTCACATAATTAAAATTTTTATATGTCATTTATAGATATAATTGAATACTTTAACTGGGTGATTTGTAGTTTTAAATACTGGACTTCTCTTTTATTTTCTAGCTAATTCAAGGTAGTGCCTGGTGGTTTGGAACAATCATTTTGAAATTTCTGACATCCAAAATCTTAGGCGTTTCAGACCACGTAAGTACTTTTTAGTTAAAAACATGAAAGTTCTTATAAATATGCAGCTTAATGAAAACTTTGAAACCATCTATTCTTACCTCTTCATTTTACAGAGGTTAAGCGTCTTCTCTAAGGTCTTTAGAGGAGTTACTGGCAGAGTCAATAATAAAATCTTGCAGTTCAGTGATCTTTGCAACCCACTAAAAAGAAAGAATATTCATCAATGCTGACTTGGCCTTTCAGGAAAAAACTACTAATAGTTTGTTAAGTAGTTATTTGTTTATATTTCAGTAAAAATACAAATAATTAGTTGTTTACATCGTAAGTTATCCATTTATTGCAGATGTTAACATATGGGAGACTGTCTTCAGCTTTGAAAACATAGAACTCTTAAAATCTCAGTATTGTTTTATTTATTTGTAACTGTGGACTAAAATCAATGTATGATTTGATGTTTTAAGGCCTTTCTTGTTATATAAAAAGAGAATGTTAAAAAATTTTGATCTTTTCATTTTCTAGGAAATACATGCAGAGCATTTCTGTCTCATGTGGTATTTCTGTTTGTTAATGTCTTAAAGAGTAGCCCTTTTCAAGGCCTAAGTCCCTGCTTAACTAACTGGTTTGGGGAATAGAAAACAATGCATGAATCTACTTTTTATTTCTAGCACTTTCTGTTTAGAAATAAGCATACATGAATATATCATACAATAATCAATTTTGAAATTTACCTCATTTAATGCTATCCAGTTAGGGCCCTGTTTGGTGCTGAAATTATGTACTTTGGCAAGGGTTTATAGTATTACTTCTCTAAAAGGTCAAATGCTATCTCTATGCAATATAACATGCAACATGTTTATATTACATAAAATTTCTAAATGTAAGTGTATGCCATTTATTGCTAGCTTTGCATGGTGGTTTATTAGTTTATTTGTTGCTGCTGTTTTCTGGTATGTCTGACACATTTCCCCATTCTCCTTTCCTTTTTATTGTTTTTAACTTTATTATATATGTCTTATGATAAACTTTATTTAGATCTTCTAAGTTATTTATTTATTTAAGTTTGTTCATGATTATGTTTCTTGACTTACTTCACACTTACTTCACATTGACCCCCAGCTCTTTACAAATCTGTTTTTTTTTTTTTGAAACACAGTCTCACTCTGTCACCCAGGCTGGAGTGCAGTGGCCAATCCTGGGTCACTGCAGCCTCCACCTCCTGGGCTCAAGCGATTCTCGTACCTCAGCTTCCTGAGTAGCTGAGATTATAGGCATGTGCCACCATGCCCGGCTAATTTTTGTATTATTAGTAGAGATGGGGTTCCAGCATGTTGGCCAGCCTGGTCTCAAACTCCTGACCTCAAGCGATCTGCCTGCCTTGGCCTCCCAAAGTGCTGGGATTACAGGTGTGAACCACCACGCCTGCCTTACAAATTAAAAAAAAAAAAATACAAACACACTTCCTTGGTAGTCCTGAGTGACTTCCTTTATGTGACAGTTATGAGGAAGACCTGAAATTATAGTGGTTTGGTTAAATTAACTGAATGAAAACCACTGATAATCATCAAACTTGTTATAAAATTATTCCTATCCCTATAAAATAATTTGAATTAAGAGTTTACTTGCCAAATATTTTCCTTTTTCTGGCCTTCTGAGGATGCTGTGGAAAAATAATTGTCTCACCAAAAGCAGGTTGTAAATAATCAGTAGAAAAATAGAAGTTCTGCATTGGGTTTGGTTGTTGGTATCTATTTTTAGCCTTGGAGATCAAATAGCTAAGTCAAAGATCAAAGTGGTATGTATAATTGTTGTAATTCTTATGAGGATCAGGTCTCATATTCAATGGTTTGAATATATGTCTGTAAAACATCAAGAAGTACCAAATATTGTAATCAGTCTGTGAGGCTTTGTGAAAATGACAGTGCACAGAAAGCTTATGACCTACAATGTATGTTGAAAGAGGTTAAGTAAAATAGTTTTTCATCATAAATTGTCGTATTATAAAGTATAATTAACTACATGATGGTTTCTTCTCAGCAGATATTTATTTTAGCTCACTCTTTATCATATTCTATTTTTTTCTGTCTTCTTTCTACTTTTCATTTTTCATGATATTTCTCTTTATTTTCAGTTATCTTGAGAAGTCAGCACATCGTATGTTTGGTTCACTGTAGTTTTTTGTTTTCTTAGAGGGATGTCTAAATACATTGGATTTATCTGCTCTATAAACTTTGTTATTCTTACATCAATAAAGTATTACTGGCTATAGGCTATAATCATTTGTGTAATTTTAATTCATTTTACTTTATTTTCTCCCAGATTCGCCTGAGTGATCTTATAGCAGCCAGAATCTTAAGGTATACAGATTTTGATACTTTAATATACACCTGTGCTCCCGAATTTGACTTCATGGAAAAAGCGGTATGAATGTTTCTTTTCTCCTTCTCTACTAATAGGAGTTTTTGCTCTAGTTTTAATCTGAAACTCAAAATTTTTACTCAGAAACAGTCAACTTATTTTATTTTATTTTATTTTTTTACTGTAACTTTTGCTAATCTACCTTCCTCACTTGTTTTTTTGTCTGTTAAAAAAAAAAAAAGATAGCATCTATCTTATGGAGTTATTGATGATGGTTAAATGAGATAATCTGAGAAGAGTGTTTAACATACAATATGACCCATAATAATTACTATTACTACAAATCAATTTTAATAATCTAGGCCAATAAGAAATATGGGACCATTCAGGAAAAAGTCTCAATTCTTGTTTCTGTTTTTAAGAAATTCACTTTTATTACAGTTAACACCCCAAATATTATAACATTTTTAACAAGGTGTTACCAAGAAAGGTATGCTACTGATGAGTTTTAATGAACATATAAAAATTCATTTTAAATTATACAAATGCAAGGTATTCTTTTTAAAAAGTCCATGTTATAAAGCTTTAAAATATAGGCTGGATGTGGTGGTTCATCCCTGTAATCCCAGCACTTTGGGAGGCCAAGGCGGTTGGATCACTTGAGGTCAGGAGTTTGAGACCAGCCTGGCCAACATGGTGGTAACCCTATCTCTACTAAAAATATGAAAATTAGCCAGGCATGTTGGTGCATGCCTGTAGTCCCAGCCTGAGTAGGAGGCTGAGACAGAAGAATTGCTTGAACCCAGGAGGCGGAGATTGCAGTGAGCTGAGATCATGCCAATGCACTCCAACCTGGGTGACAGAGTGAGACTGTGTATCAAAAAAAAAAAAAAAAAAAAATTGGCCTCTTTGTAGAATCATGGAACACAAGATCAGGAAGGGCTCTTAGAGACCATGCCATAAAGTTCTTTATTTGCAGACAAAGAAAAGCTTAAAAGATTTGCCTAAAGCACACACAAGCCAAGATTAGGACATGGATTCTAATCGATTCAAGAACTCTCAATCCAGGGCTCTTTCCTCTATCTGAAACTTAATTTTTTTCATAGAACATAACAAAGTTGCTACTGGATTGATTATTCCTTGTGTAGTCATTATGAATTCTGAATTAGTGGTAAATAATAAAATTTTACATTCTTATCCATCCAACCAGTCATCCATTCATTCAAAAACTATTATTGACCACTAGTTATCCGTGAGGCAGTTTGCTATAGCACGACAAAGAGGAAAAGGAACTGGTTTCTTGCTTTTAAGAAGTGTGTAATTTAGTTACATGGTAAATTACTCCTTATCACAATAACAGGTCATCAGAATTAGTTAGCCAATGTTATTTCTGTATTTATTCATAGTTTTAGTAATTAACTTTGGTTAGCTTTCTTTCTTGTTAGCTCTAGTTTCACTAATGAAAATAATGGAGCTATGTAGTACAGAAAATTACAATGTAGGAAGGACCCAGGGATGGGTAAACACATATTTTAAAACTTAGTATTATGTAAATTAAAAAAAGAAAAGAAAAAAATAGATATACCAATTCTAGTTGTATTAAAATAAGAAATTCTTCATTAAAATTTTGGAATACTTTTTATAAGTATTTTTGTAATTTTAATTATTTTATTAAGGCATGGAAGACAATAAATATATATACTGCTGGTGACAAAGAAATTTTACCTTTTACTTTTAAGGAATGTTATCATGGCACTTAGTTTGACATAGATGTTTACTAATTTAATGTAAAATTTGTAAGTAACTATTTTGAATAATTTGGTATATTTCAGACTCCGCTGAGATACACAAAGACATTATTGCTTCCAGTTGTCATGGTGATTACATGTTTTATCTTTAAAAAGGTATTTTTAAACAAATTATTATTTGTTTTTGGCATCAATATAAGGACTATAATAATGCAAATTGCTCAGAATTCTATGTTATTTTTAGGATGAACTCTTTCTAAAAGTTTGCTTTTTATTTAGATCTTTCATTATCGATCTTTTTATAAAAAGCCATGATAAAAGGTATTCTTATTTTTTCTTTCAAAAGATATATACCAGTCACCAGCTGTGTATCAAAGACTACATTAACATTGTAGGTACACCCAGACAAATAAAACGTGGCCACTCCTGTCTTGGAACTTACAGTCCTGGATTATTGGGGGTGGGGGTGCAAACATGAAGCAAATAATCGTACAAATGCCTAAAGAATTAAAATTTTTATAGGTGCTATGAAAGAAAAGTCCTTGACAACAACATTAGTATCTTTCAAATATAAAGCACGGTGAAGTCTTGATCTATTTTGAGTGGGCCTGCGTAGAAGAAATTTGTATAGCTAATTAAAAAATATTTTTCTACATGTTCACTGTTTCCATGACAGAAGAAAATAATATCTCAATAAAAGAGATAATCTTTAAAATACCAGTGGCAGGTTTTCTTGGTCTGGGTAGAGTTTATCTAAAAGCATGGTTAAAGACAGTGGGGTTTTATTTATTTATTTATTTTTTTAGCAGTCTTGAGCCATCTTTATTTATATTATTTACAAGCTATCTTGTCTTAAGCCAGTATGTATTTATTTTATACTTTTAAGCAGATAGCAATGCAATTTCCCTACCACCATACCAGTTGTGTTCTTGTTGAAAGGAGTTTTCTGTATTTAAAGTCAAATTGCATATGTTCTGTATGTAGTTTTAGTTGCCACACTTCTCACTCCTTTGTTTACACATAGATGTGAATAATTTAAGAGTGAGAAAGGTATCTCCCTCAACATCTCTGTTGTTTTACCCTTGATCCAGTTCCCT